AGCTTTTCTTTTTTTTTCAAGCGAAGACGAGATTAGATTTTGGCACGCACAGAAAGTTGCGCGAGTACCAGTTGCTCGACATACCTGCGGGGCCCGTACGACGAAGTAACTTCACGGGATTGGCAAAGTTTCAGTCACAGCAAATTATGCAAAAATTCTAGAAAGATTTAAGCTTAAATCTCGTTTAACGTTTAAAGCGACATATCAATGACTGCAATCATCGTGTTCTATACAAACCTCGCAAACTTTAAAACACTTTCTCTAGTAATTCCTGCGAAAGTATTCAGTATAATTTCCCGTAAGATTTTCGCGGACAATCGGATCGATTTCTCTTACATTGTGTGCTGAGACTGAAACTTTTCACCTCAACCAAATCTCCGTCGCACGGTCCAAACAAACAAAGCGAGCACCTGAGCTACTAGTACATGTCCGTGTTAAAACGCACGAAAGGACTCTAAAGCACACTTCACTCTGATTGGGCAGAAAAACACAAAGATTTTCTGGCACCAATCAGATGGCAGAACGACTGCGACCGTTTGGAACTAGTCTTCCAAGACAATCTCCCCAGTTGCTTTTCCGCACTAACTTGAAATTGACTCACAGCCCCTGGATCTCTCCGAGGACGCAGCGCAGTTAAAGTATAAGTAAACCGCATGTGAGAAGTATTGGAAGTACTCACCCCAGATATTGTAAGTACAATGTACCTTGCTAATTGTAACTGTCCTCTGTTAAAGAAAAAAAAAGAAATTAAATTAGAGAACTGTTAGAAAGAAGTCCGAACATCTACAGTACAACACTGCTGTTGTCTCTAATTGTTAGAGCGTTGAAAAATACAACACGCTTCGATGAGAAGAAAGTTCAAATTTCACACCAACAAAAACTTTTGAAAGGCTACCTATAACAGGGCCCCGATACTTCAGACTTTGCAGGGTCAACTAGGCCAAAGCAAATGTCCAAAGGTTCCACCAGGGTGTACATTTCGCAGTTAACTAACTGCAAATCCTTCGCTTCTGTAACATATATAAAGAGACATTTTTGCTAAATTTCATTTGTCTCTTATAGAGTGACATAAAGGCAAACTTTGCAATTGTAAAATCTGTCCATAAACGCTGGACGTTCTTGTTCTCGTAAGTGAAATCGACTCCTCGTCGATGGAAGTTTGATCAGGGATTGTGGAAGTTAGTAATCTAGTCATGAAGGTAGTTTGTGCGTGGATTTCAAACCTTCGTCGCTGGACCAGGTCAAGATTGACTGCGATTACATGCGTGGTGACTCTACTTTATTTGTGGGGGATTTTTGGAGATTGGAAGACATCTTATCACGCTACTACATTGGCAGAATAGTAAGTGTATTTTTTTCTTTCTTTGTTGTGGCAGTATAGATGCTCAGAAGCGAAATACTACGCCAATCTTAATACAATTTTTTTATATGTTGGACGAATTTTTCGACCGGTACTCAGAAATATTTCCCACAGGAAAAGATGTTTGTTCAAGCGATTTCAACAACAACAGCAACTTTATTAGGTACTTCCACAAGTAGTACATGGCATTACCTAAGTAAGAATAAGTAACAATAATTATTTAACATAATTTCGTCTTAAACAGAACTTCTTGTCTGATATTCATTATTTGGAATATAAAAGCAGAAATGAGTCTACATATAGACCGTTCAGCGTTATTAAAAAGGAATAACACTTTAGAGTTATGATCAAAGTTTTCAAAGCAAGGATACTTTCTTACGATTTTGTTGTTAAGTTCTAATCGAAAACTATCATACAAAGGACAACAAAAAAAGCACTTGTTTTTCATCTTCAATTTCATTTGAATGGCAGAAAGAACAGATTCTTTGATTGACTGGGATCTTCGATTGACTGATTTCAAAAACAATGAAGGTGTACTAAATACAAGTTAAAAATTATCGTGTCACTCCATTTGCAGAAAAGCAAGTCTTTCCTTTATTATTTTTCGTTGCGGCAATATGCTCAGTAGCTAGCACCTTAGATAGAACTGATGAAGACTTGAAAGTCGCAATAACTTGTGAGCGTTTGGAATGCAGCAAATTTGTGGCCCACGATTTTACGCCAAATTCAAATTGCATGAAGTTTCGTTTTAGGTTAGGCTTGTTTTACTTTAGGTTAGGCAATTAATATTTCTAACCACCGTACGGGGCTGACAATTTCTCACCATTAAGAACATAAGATTAATAGGTTTGCTTAATTAAATATATCCTACTACACGTTTTCTTGTGTAGTAGCGCTGAGTATTTTGACGAGTTGTGCCGTATTTTGACGAGCCCTACGGGCTCGTCAAAATACGGCACAACTCGTCAAACGCAAACAACTGGTAAAAATACTCAACGATACTACACAACAAAACGTCTAATAAGAGGTTTATTCTTCAACCCGCCAAATTGTTATTTCAGAGCAGGTGAATTTCGCGGATATTTCTGGAGTACAAATATCACGTGATATTTGTACTCGCCTCTCGCGTTATTTGTATTCTACGAAGCACAGTTGGGAAGATTGCTGTATGACCACCTACCATTCTGCTGTGGGTGTCGCTTAGTACTTGTACGAGTTGTACCCTGCGTTCTCGTCAAAATACGGCATAACCCGTGAAAATACTTAACCGCACTGCTTTAATCCATGTGCATTTCTTCAAAGTGCAATGACACAACAAATAGAGAAACGGTTTGTGATAGGTGTTGCGTTACGTTCGAATCGGATTGCTTCACAAGACGCCAAGCTGTCAAATAAAGTTTGAACAAAGAGGTTCATATTCGATCGTTGTTCTTGAAATGCACACTCTAAAGAAAGTAACACTTGCTTCCTAAACTTCAGAATACCCGGCCACTCATTTACATGTCATTGAATAAGAATAGCATCTATTGTGTTATGCCTCATTCTTCAAAGCCTCCCGTCACATGTCAAGGTACCTGGATATTTGCGGTGATCTTTTCATGGACCCAGACATTTGACTCCAAAACCCTGGGTTGCAATTAATGTAAAAAATGGTGTTTGTTTTGTTTCAACAGTAAACGGTCCTTTCAGATGTTAACCAACATAGATATTGAGAATCTGGATATTCATCAGAACTGTTCTCCAGAAACACACGTCCTCTTTCTCAAGACGCATAAAACAGGATCGTCCACAGTATCAAACATTTTTTTCCGTTATGGCGACTCTCGCGGTCTTCAATTTATTCTTGGTTCAGACACACTAGTTGGGTGGCCCAGTCCATTTAGAATTTCACACATGCTACGTCCTAATGGACTTCTGCCAAATTTTCTGTGCAGTCACACAAGATTTAGTAAGAAAACAATGAATTTCTTATTTCCAAAAGACAGGAGTAAGTACATAACAATCCTTCGACACCCTGTGGCGCAATTTGAATCCGTTTTCAATTACATAGGGCTTGGTGAAGTTTTTAATTTAGGGAGTGATGCTACAGAATCTATAAAAGGATTTCTTAGGAAAGGAATAGAGTTTAAAGATATCTTCAAGAAGAGATCATCAGTTTTGGCCAGAAATCCAATGATGTTTGATTTAGGTTTGGACCACAAGTTGTACCAGAATGCTTCTGCAGTCAAAGACTATATAGCATTTTTGGAAAAGGAGTTTGACTTGGTTATGATAATGGAATATTTTGATGAATCTATGGTGCTCATGAAGCGTTTGCTTTGCTGGTCATTCACAGATATTCTTCACATTAAAACCAACGAGAGGATTGAAGAAGAAAGAGCCAAGTTCAGTGGTAACTTAAGGGAAAACATAAAACGCTGGAACAGAGCAGATATGTTACTCTATGATCACTTCAATAAAACATTTTGGCGTAAAATAAAAATGGAAGGGAAACAGTTTTACAAAGATCTTGCAACTTTCCGTCAACTGAAAGAGATATTAACCAGAAATTGTTACGGAGGACCAACAGTTGAGGAGGTTTATCCTGGCAAGTATGGAAAGACATTATCTTTAAATCCAAAGTTATCAGGAGTGAGCAAAGAGATATGTGATAAACTGATAAAAAAGGAAAACAGCTATCTTAGTTACTTGAGACAGAAACAATCATATAAATCACCAGGTCCTTTAAATGCAGTAATTCTTGAAGATGATCCACCCAATATCACCTGGGATGTGGCAAAGGATTTCTGGTATGATCCTTTACCACTGTAATCTAATATTGAGAGTATAAATTATTCTAGTATAAAGATTACAAATAAGTGATGTGTATGAAATTAATGTATACCTAAAAACTATGATGCCATAGACACAGGTACACATGAAGTAAATGTTATCACACCTGCATAATCCATTGTTAAATTGCTTGTCAAAAAATGCGCGTTTTGCTCTCTAATTGGTCTAGAAAACTAATACCTCTCTCTAAACCGACAGGATGCAAAACTTACGACATTCTCAACTAGGTCGCCTGCATTTGCCCACACTTAAAGTGGTTTTCTTGCTGTCACTTTGAGTTCTCATTGGCTCTTGAGGAGTATTAATTTTAGTAGTGACGGGGGAATTTACATTTCAGTCACTCTTGAGGGTAAAAATTAAAAAAATTAAAAGAATAAAAAAAGAGAGAGTTTGAGTGACAGAAATATTTTACCATTTTCCCAAGCTTTACATTTGAAGAAACACTTCGTGATACCAAAATTTTTTTTTTTTTTTGCTATTTTTGCTGGACACAAGGCATAGTTCAGCCATTGTGAACACATTCACTTACAAAAGTGATCTGTACCATAACAGAAACAGTCTAAGAGGAGGTAGGCTTGCCTGGGGGGTTAGGGTGCTGAGCTTCAAGTCCTCCACCCTGCTACTCACTGGATTTGTCCTCAGTCGCCCCAAGTTCGGCTCCTTGGCTGCACTGTGTACATAACCATCTAGTCTGCCTCCTTCCAGTTGGGATTTTTAAGCTTTTTATGTTCATTTGAAATATTTGTTCATCTCTCTTGTAAGGCACTGAGTGGCTTACAATAAGTGTGATACAAATTGCAAATTTGTCTTTATTTCTCAGTTTTTTAGAAATTCCATGTACATTCTTTATTACCTTTGATTAGTAAAACAGAATTGAGTTTGAATCATTTGGTGATTTCCTATGATGTGGATAGTTTAAGTTACAAACTGGACTGTGAAGACTTTTATTCTAAAATATTCCTTAAGCTGATTTTGATATCACACTGACATTTAAAGATGTTCATATCAGAATTTGACCTGGTTCAATCAGTAGTTTGAAAATTTTTCTACGTCTCGAGTTCTAAATCTCATTTCATTCTTTTATTGTGATTTAGAAGTTGACATATTTATGGATTATACAGGAAGGGAATTTGTGCCTTTTAAATAAACAAAATATTTTAAACCACTTTTAATAACCAAATAATGGTGTGGATTTATTTTTTCCAGTGGCAAATTAAACTTTGAATTTTTTTGGCTGTTTTCTACTCACGAGACACTAGCAGTTCCTAGGGTTGAAAATTCACTGGAGCCAGCCCTCTTCACTTGTATACTTGCTCTCAAGTTCAAAGCTTGATTAACTTTTGATAAATATTTGAATACAGACGTTAAAAAAAAGAAAGTCTTTGGTGGTAATTCACGACTAATTGGTAAAGCAGTAGAAAAAATCCTTTGATCCATAGAACCTGTCATTGAAAATTTGTACATTCTATCTGTGCATACATTTGTTACTTCCAGTGCAAAGGAAAATGTCCCAAAATCCCTTCTCAAGAACAGCAAACAGTTGGAATCCAAGTTCTTCACTTTTGTTTCTGCACCAAACATTTCCCGAGGAACACCATTCCCCAACAATACTCCATTTTTAGTATCATTGGAGGTTTGATTTTTAGCACATGCACAGAGCTTAATATCTACTGACTTGTCTTGGCAAGGTACAAATTTGTTGTACATTGTCATTCTAACAAAACTGAGAAAAAATACTCCTTGTCTTGGTTTGGAGTACTGTTTGACAGACACTTTAAAAATTTCATCATCTTGGTATCCATTTGGAGGAACCACATGTACATCCATTGTTGTTAAGATGAACTCTCCTTGGAAACGCTTCACAACAGAAGTAAACGATTTTCCAACTAGGCGCTCACAGTTTCCATAACCTTGGTTTTTCTTTGAGTTTTTATCCTCTAACAAAGGGTAACGGATAAAATATTTAAAAAGTGAGGTCATTTGTAGTGAAAGCAGAGTCTGTGGTGTATTCTTGTATGGTGCACAACCTCATAACCCTTTAACTCCCGTGAGTGACCAAGATAGAATTTCTCCTTACAATTATATCAATACAATATCAAGCAGACAAGTTTTGCGAATCAAGAAAAATATCAGTAAGGGCTTATTAGTTGATCCAAAACCAAATTCTCTGAACTAACATCATAAGAATTATATGACCAGGGTTGCCACTCATTAGAACCCAAAAAATTCCCTGACTTTTCCTTGACATTTCTCTGACCTCAAAACATTTTTCACTGACCTCAAATGAAATTAATTATCAAACAGGCCAAATCCACTCTTACATTTCTCCATCACTTTTCCGCTTTCTATCCGATTTGCTACACTCAATCGACTACTTCAGAAACCTTTGTGGAACCCTCAAAACAAAATTCCCTGACTTTTCACTGACTTTGACTTGAACTAAGTCTTTCCCTGACCTTTTGCAAAATTCCCTGACTTTTCCCTGACCTTGAAAAATTTTTGTTTTTCCCTGACTTTTCCCTGACCGTGGCAACCCTGACAACAGATGGCAAAGAGGATTACTAATGAAATCTTGGGAGCTAAAGGTTAGGTTGTGTCACATTTACTACTTAATTATAACCTGGATACAATTTCGGTGAGTATGATGAATGGATGAACTGCCTTACTTTTCACTAGTAATTCTGTAGAGTTGTAATCAGACAGGTAAATCAGCCAATCACACTGAGTATACTTACATGAATTGACCAATCAAATAATTGATTTTGGTAATCATAGCAATGGCACACCATTTTCCAAAAAGAGAGGCTGTCATTGGAGCTAAGGAACAAGCTGCTACCTTTGTGAGAATTTAACCAGCTAGCAAAGTGAGCTGAAAAATGATCTATAAGACAGACCCTCACAGATTTACCATCTATGACTAACACAGGCTTCACCTTGCCAGTCTCGGCTCCAAATAGAGCCAGCTTCCAAGCTACATCTCACCTTTCTCGTAATGCCTTTGTATAGCATCATTCATATGACCAACTGCAGCTTCTGCAAGCCACTTGTGATCTTCTGCATTATCTTTGATGTGACCTTCTTCATCAAAACCCTCACATTTGCATCGTGTCAAAGGAAGCATGAACAAGTCTGCGCAAGTGCGGTTAGCTGGTATTTCTGAGAATATCCCAGTTATTTGATAATCCCTGGAGTTCATTGTCTGAGGATTGTGCAAACTCATGAGTGCTTTGTGAACATCATACAACATGAAGATGCGCTTTTGGTTTGTTACCAAGGCTCCCATCCTTTCTGGACCCAGTTTATCTGCGACACCATCAGGGACAATCATGATGAATACTGGATCAAACAATTCTCTCCTGCCTTCAGGAGTGTAACTAAATGAGGTCATTTTATGGCCATGATCAGAAAATATCAGAGTCAGTGTGTTAGGAAATGAAGCCATGTCTGTGAAGAACTTTGCCAAGCCAACATCCAAGTTAATCATTCTTTTACCAGTTGTTTCGTGTCCAGTGTTAAAATGCATGTAAGACACCAGTGGTTTAGCTTTCTCATCTTGCTGCAGTACAGTATACACCTTGGTTATGTAGTCCATGAAATACCAACTGAAAAACTGTCCATTAAAGCAAACTTTAGGGGGGTAGTCATAATGATTAGTTCTCTTCAAAACATAATTTAACACTGTACAGGAGAAGTGTGTTAAGCCAAAATGATTGATTGTTTTGTGTTCCTCCTTTTCTCGAAGTTCTTTCCACCTGTAAAGAAAACCAAATACATGTCTAAATGAACAATGACAACCTTGCACTGCCTAGTAGGCCAGAATTAATAGTTGTTTGATTGCCTTACTAACAGGTATCCACATACTAGATATTTAAGCATGTACAAGCAGTTATTATTGTAAAGGAGGTTTTTCACAGGAGGTGGTGGGCTAACCTTACCTTGATTTTGTTACCTACTTTGACTCAAAACTTATCACAAATGTTACAGATAGCATGAGAGACATTTGGATATATACAGCAAGCCTTGGATAAATTCTAAACATCTTTGTTTCAGAATGCTGCATAACACTCTTAATAAGAGGCTCATATTAAAACATTTTCCCCTAGCAACATGTCAGGTGTGAGTAACAGGTGTTCTGCATCTGGTCTCCATTGCATTGAAAACCTTGTGTTAATTCTAGCTATGTGCTCTCAAGAGCTCAACAGTGAGAAAAGGTAATAACAACATTGTCGCACACTTCAAAAGGTAATAACAACATTGTCGCACACTTCAAAAAGAATTGTGACTGGACTACCAGACATCCCTACTTTAGAGTAGAGGAAAGGGAAACTCTCTACTCAAGTCAGGTGGCCCTGACACTGCTTATCCTGACTAGAAGTGTAACTACTCGCCCCCCCCCCAAATGGGATGCTCATCCATTGCAAGATATCCCTCCTTGCATTTCATTCAACAGGCTTCTCTGATGTGAGAGTAAAGTGTTCTTCCCAGGAACACAAAACATTGACCTTGCCAGGTTTAGAATCCTCAACTCGTCCTGGAGTCCAGTGCACTAACCATTACCCCATTGCATGTTCCCACTTCTGAGAGTCAAACATGTCAAATACACTGACCTGGATTTGAAGTCAGCATCTCCACTAGGTACAGGACGTTTTCGAATGTTTGTTAGCAAACTTCCCCAAATGTCATACCAACAAAGGTCCTCTTGAAAGAGAGTCTGGTAACCAGCTTTCTGGAAGGCACCATACAGCACTTCCATTCCTAAAGGGGCCTTCGTGTTCTCACCTGAAGCACTGATCTCATTATCATCTGCAAAAAAATACTTCAATTACAGCCATTCCCACAGCTCTTTAGGTTGTTTAACAAGGAATCATCAAATTAAGACATTCTTTAAATATAGGGATAGCAAACTAGACCTCTCTAAATTCATTGAAAAATATCATCATGTTACTTTTTGATAGCCAACGTATGCTTAACATCATTTCTATCATTAGGATATTTCTTGGAGATGACTTACTTATCATGACAGTGCTCCTAGTTCAAGATTTTTCAAAGTCGCTACTTGTATGGTGATAGAAAATCAGAGAAAGGTCACCAGAAATTGAATTTCAATTTACAGTGGCTAGCAGTTGTTATTGAGGGTTCACACATCATCTCCAGTCTTAACACTCAACAAGACTTAAGAAGAATATGCAGTGACTGAGATCTAATTAAAAACATAAATTTATGCACTTGAATGCCAAACACAGTTTGCCTATTATTTTGCCAACTTTCATGAAAAATTTAGTTGCCAAAGTTTTTTCAATGCACCATGCCCACCAAAATGGTGGTAGCTTGGAGTGCTGCACAAGTTTAATAACAACATATTAGTTAGACGGTGTGGAATGAAGAATTCTCCAGCTAAATTTTGAGCAACATTCTTCTTTTACTCAGCCCTGAATGACCCTGCTGTTAATTAATTTAATAAAAAACCTTCACTCACCTTTAAGAATTCCAGAAAAAAATGGTCTTAAATTCTCAAAAGTCTGTTGACCAATACTCTGATCAAGTTCGAAGTCCAGTGCCCTGGCCTTTATATCAGCAGCATCATTAATTTTCTTAAAAGCCCCAGCAGCTCTTGGCATGGTACGATAAAAATGCGGTCGCGAAATAGAGTCCAACATAATCACATTAATATTGATATTATTTCTAGTTTTGCCATCTTCAATTTTCTTAAAAATTGGAGGAAAGGAAAAGACCTGGAGATTACTTCCACATCTCAAGAAGAGAAAATCAAATCCTCTTTCTTGGTTGGTTTTCAGGGCCTCTTGGACTGAGGCAGTGAGTCTGTCCTTTGATAAAGTTTTCCAGTCAGTTACAGATTTTCCCATTTGCGGATCAACAGACGCCATTTGGATGTCTGAAGATCCGCAAACCTTTGCATCACAAGACACGTTAATTTCCCCAGAATCTGCTCGTTGGTAAGAACAAATATCTGGGTAATGTGTACCAGAGCATTTTCGATCCTCCACTTGTCCTGGCTGGCCATAATACTTCACAATCAGTTCTTGACCAGCTTTGTCTGGCCTATGGGAGAATTTAAAGTCACTGTCATTAATCCACTGATCTCTAAGAGTAACTAGGGTATCTTATTTCTACTTACATTATCGGGTCATTATCTTTTAGGGTACCTTGATTGACACTTGACCGACAAGCGACCGATGCATTCACTGACTGTCAACCAAGAGTCAACTGATGTATAGGTTGAGCTTCCACTGATGTCAGCCAAGGTACCGACCATGACCATTTTAGTACCATGAAGGCAGCATGGTCGAGTGGTCAGCGTGTCGGACTTGCAATCCGGTGCTCCCAGATTCAAGTCCTGCCCTGGCCACTACTTAGATTTGTTTCACGGTAGCCCCGAGTTTCAAATCCTCAGCCATGCTTGTAATATAGCCAACTGGTTTGCCTTCGGCCAGTTGGGATTCTTAACAACGTTACTTTCAATTTTAATAATTTGTTTAAGTTGTTTCATGGAAAACCTGTAAACTAGCTTCTAGCTAAGTGTTTCTCCACGTTAAACTGTTTATTATTATTATTATTATTATTATTATTATTATTAAATACTGGTGGCATATCAGTCAACTACTGGTGGAATGTCCGTTGAGTATCATTCGAAGGTCGAGCAACAGTCAACCATGATCATACCCATAGCTTATTGGTCAACTACCAATGGCATGCGGGTCAACTACAGGCAGAAAGTTGGTTGTGTATCATTCAATAGTCAAGCAAGAGTCACTTAACAGATAAAGTCAACCTCAACACATAATTCAATGTTACTTTTTTACTGTTAGTGCTACTCGACTAGTGATCGATAGACACTCGATCAATTAACAAGCAATGTGCTGCGCAACATGTATGGAGGCAAAAAGTAGGTTTGCATATTCATGATTTTCCATCAAGGTTTCTTTGCATTTAATTTCAGTTATCTCACTTGAAAACCCATTTGGTGGGTCTGTTCAAGACATTTTAGAAGGCACTAATACCTTAAATTACATTCCTAACTTTTATCCTTTTAGATGGATATATCAGTTGAAATGTGGATGAAGTTGCAGCTGATATATCAGTCAGCTAACAACAGAATGTCTGTCAAGTGTGGGTGAAATGATAGTGAAATGACGGTAATGCATCAGTAGTTTTCCATCAATTGGTGGTCAATGGTGGGTATCCCTAGACCAGCCGTCCGTATCCCTAGACCAGCCGTCCATATCCCTAGACCAGCCGTCCACAGTTGATTGAGATTAATCAACTTTCAAATCACTCATAAAGGTCATGGGAATAAGGGAAACCATCACCAATTAAAGGAAGCTCTTGATTGCTAATTAAAACAAATTCTCCTTGTCGGTGCCTCAGGAAATGCATAGAGAACAGTGTGCATAAAGATGTTAGGAATCAAGTAAAGCGTAAACTACAGTATATATAATATTTAAATCTACACAGTCAACAGCCTCCTTTTTGCATGAAAATGTGCCCTGATATTTGTCCAAGAAGCAAGCTGTTTCCTGAGAGAATGCTTGAGGGTAACTGTTAGCTTTGGGACAGGGGCTGGTAACTTTTATAGCTGTTAACTAAAGATAACATTCAACATTACATACTTATGAGGTATGCATTCCTTTGTTTTCCTCTGAGTTGTAAGTGAAGAACTTGGGGTGGTTATTGAAGTGGTCTGATTAACAGCACTACTATTACTACCATGTGGCCTTGAAGGAGTGTGCAAATTCTCTAAAACAGAAGACAAACAGTGCATTAATTTAAAACAAAAACAAACAAGGACAACAAATTAGTATCCAGCTACATGTAGCAATGAACTTTCTACACTCATTGTCATTTGAACCACTGACATCTAATATCAGAGTTCCCTCCAGTTCAGACAAATAAAGTTTGAGCACCAAATACAGTGCCAGTTTCCAGTCTCTCCCTGCAACCATCATTTCTTCTCATCTATAAACAATACTGCTGGTACATTAAGTAGAATTACTTGTGAGTTTAAATTGTACATTGTTCCCCTGTTATAAAACACCAGTTCCCAAAGAAAAGAGAAAACTAGAAAGGACCCTTTACCCAATAAAACAAGATAGATAACACCCCTGACCACACAAGGTGTTTTTGATGGAGCAAAGTGGCGACATGGTGAGCCAAAATATCTCGTAACCCTTTTCAACCTTTTATTTACTCCTAAGAGTGACTAGCATCTAATTTCTCCTTTTTACATTGTATCATTACCTCTAATAAAACACTGTGCTGACAGTTCTTAGCAGAGATTGAAGAGAAAAGT